CAGGCGAGACGATGAATATGTTGAGGGAAGTTTTCCAAAATCGACTAATAAGTCTCAATGCTGAACATGAATTTCCACCGAGGTCATGTGATATTACGCCGTGTGATTTCTTTTTGTGGCCTTACCTTAAAAACACTATTTTTGAACTGCCTATTCCTGATTTAAACCATCTGCAGGCTCGACTTATAGACAAGATTCGTGAAATTAACAATACCCCGAGCATCTTAGAAAATGTCTTTAATTCTTTGAGGAACAGGTGTGAAAAGTGCTTGGAACAAGGAGGGGGACACTTTCAGCAGCTGCTTTAATTTATTGTTATAACAAGGAGGGGGACACTTTCCGCAGCTCCTTTAATTGTTTGTTATTGTTATCACGATTATTCTTTAAAATAAACTTATATAGTCATTAACGTTATTGAAACTGACAGCTGCTATACAGCTCGTTGAGAAATGAGGTTAAGTTGGTCGCTATAAGCTACTCCCTACGTCCAATGTGTCGGAGCCAACTTCAACCACGTTTTTATTTGAACGCTCGTTACATAATATAACAGACGGTATAACCTACGAATTATAAATACAATTTTCAGTAAATAAAATATTTTTAACATTGTTCCAATATTATTTTATTACTCAGTATTTACTAGACTTACCCAGTATAGTCCACCAAATAGTTACATCTCAATTTTAACCCACTGTATGTAGATCATCGACTTTCTTTAAGCTGCCGAAAGCACAAACTAATTACCTCCTTTATAAAAGCAGTTTAGGGCCGAAAGTGCTGGAGAGTATACTAACAGAAGATATAACCTACAAATTACAAATACAATTTTCAATAAATAAAATATTTCTAACATCATTCAATATTATTTTACTACTGGTCACACACTTCACAGCTTCTGTTCTTACTTACCTGGAGGAAAAACATATTCATAATTTAATTAAAATTGTTTCATCTTCTGTGTTCACATAACAGAGACCGGATCGTGACGTCACAGTGACATTCCCTCCTCAGGCAAGCCGTTGACTACGTACCCGACGTGACCGACAAACACAAAAGACCTAGACACCAACTTTTTGACCCTGGGTGACCACCCCAATGACCCCCCCCCCTGCCCGCTAACCTTTTCTGTTTCAGAGACAGCCAGGATCAAGAAACGAAGACAACGACACACACACACACANGAATGAGGTAGATCCTTGTACGATAATCAATTAAAATGACCGCTGTACCTAGCTATAAAGATAAAAATGTAACATTGGCATCAATGTCAAGGACATCACAAAGTACCAATGTTTGTAAATACACATATGTCAACACTTCACTATCGAATGTAAATAAAGGCGTCCCCTTTATTTATTAGTCTGAGAGTACGACTATAATAAACCACTTGAAGAAAAAAATAACACTCGATAAACAGACACAGCAGAGCATCAAGAAAAACAATAGATATAAAATACGCTAATAATGACAGCGATCAACAAAATCTCACCTGCATGCGCATTAGCTATAACACGGCTACTGTTAAATTTTTACTTTACATAAAGATATGCATCAAAGAATCTCTAGGGAGTAGGCAGATTGTTATAGACCTAGTTTTATAACGACTATAATCCACTCTTCATGTCTTAAAAAGAACAGTTGAGATTCGATAGATTGTTTACTGTCAATATATATTTTTTGTAATTTGTACGATTTTGCTTCAGCAATAAAGTGTTGTATGTTTAACGCTGTGTAATTAATTTAAATAAGAACATAAAACTCTAACAGGTTATGGGCCCAGGTCTTAGGCAGATTTAGCAGTCTTGTGTGATATTTTGTGAGCCGTTTACTCCAAGCAAGCTTCCATTTCAAGAAGATCAATTTTCCCACGTGCCTGCCATTTGTTTCATTATGTCAGTAAAATTACACAGAATTCAAATAGAAAAATTGGAAGGCACCATTAACTGGATATCCTGGAAATTTGATATAGATCTACAACTTACAGTAAATAAGGTGGCAGGTGTTGTCACAGGGAGTCAAGTAAGGCCAGAATGTGGTGAAACTGAAGACGACAGAAAGTTGATCAGAGAGGATGATGAAAAAGATGCCATTGCAAGATACATCATAGGATCAACAGTATCGCAGGAACCAAAGCAGCATATACTTACCTGTAAGAATGCCAAGCAGATGTGGGACACTCTACATTCTGTATATGAACAGAGGAATGAAAGAAGGTTAGATCTTTTGTATACGGAATTGTTTACATATAAGAAAGATTCTAAGGACACCATTGCTACACATGTGTCAAAGTTGCAACATATATTCCTTCAGTTAAATGAGGAGTTAAAACATGAGTCTCATGAGCTGCCCATGTCGTTATTACTCAACAGGGTTTTAAATACTCTGCCAAATGAGTATTTAGAAGTTAAGAATGCATGGGAGTCTGTACCAATTAAGGAAAGGAGCATTGCTGTACTTACAGAACGTTTAAGATTGCATGGCAATCACGGTCAAGGTTGTGAAATGTCAAAAATTGACAATGTTGCTCTCATTGGGAAGGATAAAAGAATAAAATGTAATTTCTGCAAAAAGCTTGGTCATATAAAGAAGAATTGTTTCAAGCTTAAACGGATGGAGTCCAAGCCATAATAGTTTCAAGTTCATCACACCATATGACCTCTCACAGAGCATGGTTTAATGAATATAGGAGCTTTGATAATCCCAGAAAAATTACAATTGGTGATGGTCACCAAATGTTAGCATATGGTGAAGGAAACATAAAAATACAGATGTTAGTGTCTGGTCAGTGGAATGATGGTTATCTTAAGAGGGCATGGTATGTGCCAGATTGCTCTCAAAACTTGTTTTCTTCAGGTGCAGCTTTAGAGAATGGTTTGACTGAATATGCAGATTCAAAGAAAAGAATATTCAAGAACAAATATGGAAGAATTGTTGCTGTAGGAAGAAAAGAAATAGGTGCATTGTTTTGGTTAAAAATGAGAGTTGTAGTTCCAAAAATTGCATGCTTACTTACACAATCAGGTGAAAGTCTTCAGATTTGGCATGAAAGGCTTTGTCATCAACATTATAGACATGTGCACAAGTTTTTAAAGGAAAGAGGCATTTCAGTGTCAGAAGTCTCAAATGATAAGTATAGAAAAGTTTATTTCCTGAAAAATAAAACGCAAGTACATGTTGTCATTCATGAATTTCTATCTGAAGCAAAAACTTATCATATTGTCAGAGAACTGTTATCAGATGGTGGGACTGAATTTGTAAATGCAGGGGTTAAGCAAGTGTTACGAAATGTTGGTGTATATCACAGAGTGGTTATGCCTTATACACCTCAGCAAAACGGAGCCGCGGAGAGAGAAAACAGAATATTAATGGAGGCAGCCCGTAGTATGCTGTATGCAAAAAATATTAGCAAGGACTTATGGGCAGAAGCAGTAAATACTGCTGCATATGTTCTGAACCGAAGTGACCCATCTGGTATTCAAGGAAAAACGCCTTACGACCTGTCGTATGGCAAGTTGCCAGAAATAAATCGTCTAAAAATATTTGGTACAGAATGTTTTGTTCACATTCCACAACAAAAGTGAAACAAACTGGATAAAAGGGCAGTGAAAGGTATCCTAGTTGGATATTGTGGCGATAAAGATGGGTATAGAATTTGGACAGAACACAATAAGATAATATAGTCGAGAGATGTTAAGTTTCTACCAGAGGATACATGTGTAGACATTTTTCCTAATCAGGAAAACCTTAATCCCCCTGGTGAAATAGTGACAGATGTTCCTGTCAGTCAATCAAGTTCCAGTCAGATGTCAAATTTTGAAACTGAAACACAACCCGAAGTTAGTGTGCCTATAGCAGACTAGCATAAAGATACGAGAACTGAAAATTTATTTGTTGATTCCCAAGATACTTCCTCCAATGAGGATGAAAGTATAGCATCATATAATCCTTTGGAGGTCATTGAAAAGGATAGTGCAAATCAATGTCAGCGATATCCCGTGCGCGATAGAAAGCAAAAAGTGTATAATGACTACTACACGTATATTTGTAATGATGATAGTGAGTGTGTTGACATCAAGAATTTACCCGAATGCTGGAAGAATGCGGTAAATGATGAACTGTTATCTTTGAAGGAGAATAATACCTGGACTTTAGTTGATCTACCACCTGACAAGAAAGCCATTGACAGTAAGTGGGTCTTCAAAATCAAACGAGACTCTGATGGTAATATAGTGAAATATAAAGCTAGACTTGTAGTCAGAGGATTTAATCAGAGATATGGTGTAGATTATCACCTGTTGTTAGAAATACCACTATTATAATATTTTTTTCTTTAGCTATTGAATTTGATTTGTATATGTTCCATTGGGATGTTGTAACTGCATTTCTTTATGGTTCTCTTAATGAAGATGTAAAAGGATCAATTGACTTCTGCTTGGTATTTCGAAAAACTGACGCCTTTAAGTTGATAGGTTATGTTGATGCCGATTGGGCAAACTCAAGTGACCGAAGATCATACTCTGGATATGTGTTTAAATTAGGTGAAAATACAGTTTGTTGGGAAAGTAAAAAACAACGTGTGTCACTTTCATCAACGGAATCAGAGTATGTTGCTCTGTCGCAGGGTGCAAAGGAAGCAAATTTTCTTAAAAATTTAATCTCGGAATGTTGTTTTGAAGCACTTAATGGTCCAATTGTTATATACAATGATAACCAGTCTGCACAAAAAATAGCTACAAATAACATGATAAGTGGAATGTACAAAGCACATTGATGTTAAGTACAATTTCATAAGAAATGCTGTTTTAGAATCAAAAATTATTTTGGAATATATGTGTACTAAAGAAATGATAGCAGACATCATGACAAAGGCTTTGCATGGTCCTAGAATACAACACTTCCTACAATATTTATCATTGTATAATAAACCCTAGACATAGTCTTATTTTTCTTTTGTGTATAAGACAAGAAGTCTGGATTAAGGAAGGGTGTTATTATAACAAAGATCAATGCTGATCAAGACTCTAACAGGTTAATTAGAGATCCCTGATGACAGTTCGATCCTAGGAGTAGACAGATTGATGTTTTGGTATCGTTCGGTCATTCGGTCATCCCTTCCCATCCTTTCCCCCTCAAAATTTAACCAATTTATTTAAACTTGAAAATTACTCCAAAACGGGAGCCGAAACTTCGAGACTTAAATAATCTCAGACACGATTCAATCCTCCCGAGAACTTAATATTCCTCATAGTATCTGTATACAGGGTGGTCCCGAGGTAATGGGCCAAAATTCATGGGTAGATTCCCGAAGCAAAAATATTGCAATTTAGCCAAACTTATCTTAGTCCAAAAGTTGATAGTTAAAGAGATACAGGGTGTTCAATGTAAAATATTATTTTAGTTTATTTCCATTTATTTCTTAATAAATGCAAACATCTACAGAAAATTTTGGGGTTTGGGGTTCTTTGGATAGAGGAATTTAAATTTGTTCACATTTTGGTTATAGTTCATAGAGGGCGCCAGCTGCCGTAGATTGAAGGTGTTGGAAACGACATAACTTTTTTGTACTTCAATGTATCTCATATTTGGTATCAAATTTTTATTTTCCAACTTTTTTTACACAAATAAGATCTTTATGAAAGTAGCTGTCTCGCACCGTTTCCGAGATATTTGGCTTTGAAACTTCCAATGCTAATAGTTGAAATAATTAAAATAATTTAGAAATGTCAAAAACAAGGGTTTATTTAGAATTAAAAATTGTAATGCACAGTAAAATAGTAAACATTAGTAAAAAATATGCCTTTTTGACAATAATTGCTCAAAATGTCCACCTCTAACTTCAATACATTTATCAACGCGTTTATTACAAGATTGTCTAGTTTTAAAATATAAATCCTTAATGCGAAATGACTTTGCAGCATTTAAAACCTGCTACTAAAGTTCTTCTTTATAGTTTCTTCATAAATAACTGATTTCATGTAACTCCAAAAACGAAAACCTCGGCATTCTATCTCACATTTATGTACAGGGTGTGTCATAATTAGCTGCCAACCCTGAACAGGCCGATTCTATGATCAAAACTAAGTAAAAAAGTTCATATGAACATGGGTCCGGAAATGCTTCCTAAGGGCACAAGGACCCATTGAAGAGGGAAGAATGGAAATCATTTTTTTTGCAATATCTCTCAATCGCATTGTGATAAATGAATGAAATTTGGTATACACANCGACTATAATAAACCACTTGAAGAAAAAAATAACACTCGATAAACAGACACAGCAGAGCATCAAAAAAAACAATAGATATAAAATACGCTAATAATGACAGCGATCAACAAAATCTCACCTGCATGCGCATTAGCTATAACACGGCTACTGTTAAATTTTTACTTTACATAAAGATATGCATCAAAGAATCTCTAGGGAGTAGGCAGATTGTTATAGACCTAGTTTTATAACGACTATAATCCACTCTTCATGTCTTAAAAAGAACAGTTGAGATTCGATAGATTGTTTACTGTCAATATATATTTTTTGTAATTTGTACGATTTTGCTTCGGCAATAAAGTGTTGTATGTTTAACGCTGTGTAATTAATTTAAATAAGAACATAAAACTCTAACAGGTTATGGGCCCAGGTCTTAGGCAGATTTAGCAGTCTTGTGTGATATTTTGTGAGCCGTTTACTCCAAGCAAGCTTCCATTTCAAGAAGATCAATTTTCCCACGTGCCTGCCATTTGTTTCATTATGTCAGTAAAATTACACAGAATTCAAATAGAAAAATTGGAAGGCACCATTAACTGGATATCCTGGAAATTTGATATAGATCTACAACTTACAGTAAATAAGGTGGCAGGTGTTGTCACAGGGAGTCAAGTAAGGCCAGAATGTGGTGAAACTGAAGACGACAGAAAGTTGATCAGAGAGGAGGATGAAAAAGATGCCATTGCAAGATACATCATAGGATCAACAGTATCGCAGGAACCAAAGCAGCATATACTTACCTGTAAGAATGCCAAGCAGATGTGGGACACTCTACATTCTGTATATGAACAGAGGAATGAAAGAAGGTTAGATCTTTTGTATACGGAATTGTTTACATATAAGAAAGATTCTAAGGACACCATTGCTACACATGTGTCAAAGTTGCAACATATATTCCTTCAGTTAAATGAGGAGTTAAAACATGAGTCTCATGAGCTGCCCATGTCGTTATTACTCAACAGGGTTTTAAATACTCTGCCAAATGAGTATTTAGAAGTTAAGAATGCATGGGAGTCTGTACCAATTAAGGAAAGGAGAATTGCTGTACTTACAGAACGTTTAAGATTGCATGGCAATCACGGTCAAGGTTGTGAAATGTCAAAAATTGACAATGTTGCTCTCATTGGGAAGGATAAAAGAATAAAATGTAATTTCTGCAAAAAGCTTGGTCATATAAAGAAGAATTGTTTCAAGCTTAAACGGATGGAGTGCAGTGATTTATCCTTCAGTAATGAAACATGGATAATAGATTCAAGTTCATCACACCATATGACCTCTCACAGAGCATGGTTTAATGAATATAGGAGCTTTGATAATCCCAGAAAAATTACAATTGGTGATGGTCACCAAATGTTAGCATATGGTGAA